AAATAATATGTATTAACAGAGCATAGTTATAAATACTTAACGATTGCATTTGAAAAATTAATATTAATATTCAAAAATATGAGCAATCGTCCTGCCTCTTAAAGACCTCCTCAACCAGTTTAAAATGCTCCTCAAGTGCCAGTTGCATATTCTCCACCTAGAACATATGCTCCACCAATGTAATTTGCTAGTCCATCATACTATCCTATTTAATAATCTGTTGTTGCAGCTCCTGTCTAATACGTTCCTTAACCAGTTGCTGTTCAACCAATTGTTTAACCAGTGGCAGTGCAACCAGTTGCTGTCCAACCAGCTTAATAAGTAATAAAGGGTGAAAGCAGAATTGAGTAAGAATCAAAATTCAAATATTTATCATAGATATATTCCATACGAGAAATCAGTGATTGAATATGAAGAAGTTAGATAAAGAATCTAAGTACCAAGAGAGAAATATGTAACAGAATATTAAGCTGTGGAATATTAAACAGAGTATATACCATAAGTATTTTATGATAAGGTTACAGGTAATATTATGAAATAACAACAATAGAATATGTTCCTGTAGATAGATATTAAGATAGAGTAGAATATTATCCAGTTGAGAGATAAGTGGTTCACTAATAATAAGTTGTTGCTTAACCAGTCGTTCAACCAGTTGTTTAATCTGTTGTGCAATAAGTTCCTTAATATGTTGCACCTATTCAATAATATGTTGCTCCAGTTCAATAACCATATGTTGCTTAATCATATGTTTAACCAAGTTTTGTTCCATCAAGAGTTGCCCCAGTATATAATCACACACCATATTAAGGCAGACCTGTCAGTTAACCAAGAAGATTTGTACTTATATATAATTTTAATCTTAGTCTCCACCATCTAAACCAGTGTAAATTTAGAAGTAATAATAACCATAAGAGAAAAAGAAGACATTTTTAGAAAATATCTTTAGTTGATAAGTTATAGAAATAAATATATATTTAAATATAAAATATATTATTCTTTATTTTAATTTTAATATATTCAAATTAATCTCCAAACTTTTATAGATTTATCATCACTAGTACTTACTAAAAATCCAATTTCTTCTATAAGTTCAATAGATCTAACAATATCTGTATGTCCTTCTAAACTGGCAACTAATTGTCCACTTTACCATTCCCAAATCTTAATTGTTTTATCAAAAGAAGCAGAAGCAATCAAATCTTTATCTATCACCTAAAATTTGAAAATAATTAAATACTTTAATTCTCCATAAAAAACTCTTATGTGATCCCATTCTTCTCACTATTTTTTATTCAGTCACATTTATTATAAGGATTTCTCCTTTAAAATTACCAACAGCTATTTCATTTTAAGATACTCTTGCTATTCCATTTACAAAACAAGAATCAAACAATTACATTTTCATTTCTCCAGTCTAAATATTCAATAATCTAATAGCTTTATCATCTGAACAACATATAATTTCTTCTTGATTCCAAGATAACAAATCATTAAAAGATGTCTTAAATTCTTTGAAAACTTTTATGCATTATCCATTCTATAAATTCCAAACTCTAACAGTCTCATCATATGAACATGATACTAATGTTCCTGGAACAGGTTAAGTTAATGAAAATATATAATTTATATGTCCTTTCAATTCCTTAATTAATTATGATCTCTCCAAATCCCAAACCTTTATTGTCCATTCATCTTTTTAATTCTAACCAGCAGAAATAAGAGTTGTTGCATCTGATAATAATAAAGAATAAACATTCTTTCCATGATTCAAAGACTACATGAATTAATATTATCCTTCCAATGTCAATCCAATAATCTTAATGTTACCTTACCAATCTCCGGTAGCAATTACTTATGAACTAATCTTACAAAGAGCCCAAACTTAACTCTAATGCAAATCTCTAGCATCAATAAATAATTTAGCATTTAATTATGATGCTAAACCAGAAGCAAATCTATTTTGAAAATGAGTAGTTGTAGGTGGTACACTAGTTTTTGGTAATTGACTTGCTGTTCCAATAAAATTAGTTTATGGAATTTAATTAAATCCACCACCAAATCCAAAACCACCTCCACCTTAAATATTTCCTTAAGTACCTGGAATTCTTAATCTTGGTATTTAAACACCTTCCTTATATATTATATATAATAATTTATACTTTCACATTCTTAAAATCAAATGGACATTATTTAAATGTTATTAAGTTTTATTCTAGTTAATGTAAAGTTTAACGAATAACTTCTTCACATTCAACTAGAGTAGTTTATAATTATTATGGCAACAATTTAATTTCTTAGGGATCAGCATTAATTAACTCTACACATGTTTAAATAGTTTCATCTTCAGCTTCCATTGCTAATTTATTCTCTAAAATGATATACCTCTCCCCTTTAATACTAACTCCATAATTTGTTCAATTACATTATCATCTAATAAGAAATCTGCCAAAAATCCTTTCTTTATTACATCTCCCATCCCATGTTTAGTCCAATACATAAATTAGGAATATAAATCATTAAGATGATTATCAAAATCCATTTTTATTTTCAAGAACATTTCATCAATTTCATTTTATAAATGATCTTTCTTTACAACTTTTAAAACTTTATCAAAAAAATCATATTCAGCAATAGCTAATTTGTCTGTCAATAATTTAACAAATTCAGGTACTTATACTTTATGTACACAAGTATGTCCCCATAAACATCTGATATACATGATTTTATTCAATACCCAACACATAATTTTCTTCTTTAATGAATACATTACTATTCTATACAAAATCCTTTTAATTATTTCATGTGAATTCCACAATCAATTCCTGTAACTTATCCCACTTATGGATGATCAATTGCTGATTTTGAAATCCCAGAAACTACCTTCACATCACTAAAACTCACAGGAGCTTGTGAATTACCAAGAGAAAAATGAACAGACTTAGAAAGAGCCTAAGAAGATGTTGAAAGCTTATTTGCATTAGTTGGATTTAACATTTATTTTTTTTTATTTATGAATAAATTATATAATATCATATTAAATCATATAATAAAAATCATATTGTCTAAAAAAAAGAAAATCATAAATTCAAATATTATGTTAAAGTTTACTTCTTATTTATTTATTTTAAATACTGTTACTATATATAAATATATTTTAGAAAGATAATAATTATTATAATTAGAATTACTTAAGAATTTCTTATTGTATTTAATTTTTTTAAGCAATAAAATTAGTCAACAATGAAGAATGAGTGTAGTTCAGATTAAGCAATTTATAAAAATTTAAATAATCCCTATGAGAATCACGTATAAATATGACTACAAAATAATAATTTGTATTTCCTATTGACTGTTAACAAATAATTTAAACATAATGAGTTCTGTTCCCTATGAAAATATTCTCAATATCAGCTCTAAAGGACCTTGATGGTTAAGTTCACGTTTTTGTCATTAGCCATATTTTGGATATTACTTTTATATTAATTCAAGAATAAAACTAAGGCTTTTTTTTATCAAATATTTAAAAGACAACATTTTGAGTTATTCATTTATAGTAATGAACCTATGAGACTGCATTCGTGTGGTAGATATGAATATTCTATTAATTTTTTATTCTTGAAAGAAAATATAGAGAAATGCTATTGGTAATATATTCAATTTAATTGATGATCAACAATATTATTTTATGCACAATATTGTATATATAAGAATATAAGCACATGAATCTATTATTTTGAAGTCTCAGAATTAGAATTCAATGGCAATTCTTTTTTTTCTTCTTTAAATTAATGAATATTTCTAGAAGGACTTCTACTACTGATCAAAAACTATAGAGAAGATAGATATTCCAAAAATGATCAGATTTGGGTCTCCTTTCAATTTAATTAGAATTGCTTTGTTTAATTTATAAATCCAATTAATTTAAATAAGATTTATTTTCCTATATTTTTATTAAACTTATATTTATAACCATATAAAATGCCTCTATAAAATGATTCAATTAAATAAGATAATTTTAGCCAATAATACGATGGGACTCATCCTTTGTCATAATATACATTCTAAAAATAAGAAACTGTCATTTGTTCATGATCATGCAGAATAATTAAATAGATAAAGTTAGAGATAACAATTAGACCTACCATATAGACACTATATAAGCAAGAGTAATTACATAGCAAGTGCATTACCTCATGCACCATGCAAATTTAATTTAAAGAAAGGTGTAATGTTAGCTTAAGGAATAGGTAATGTTATATATATTATATTAGGTCACAGCTCTATAATGTAAAGAAGATTCTTAGAAAAATTAAATTTGAACAGCTCTTACTTTCACTCTCAAGCACTAATAATAGTAAATCCGTAATGATTCCACTATTATATATTTATATATAATTAGATTATTAATTAGTGACCTCATTCTATGCTCTTTATTTATTCTTCTCTTTAACAATTTTTTAAAACTAAAAAATATTTTGTATAAACTTTTGAATCATTTAAAAACAAAGTATCATGCCTATAATGAAGATTAAAAATGGTCCCCAGTTCAATTTGAATAAGTAATACTTTCAAACATGATCAATATATAAAAAAGCAGATCTAATATAGAAAATAGAATAATTAATTAAGTATAAGTATGTATTTAAGAATTGAAAGAGTAAAACAAGAGTGATGATTGAAATGAATTTTGAATTACACCTTAAATTATTAATGAGCTTTATATTAAAATTGATAATTGTAATAACTAAGTATTAAAGTTAATAATTAATTCATAGGAATAAAAATTTATTCTTTAAATTATTTGTTATATTGTTTAAACATCATATAAGAATTATTAAACCACATCTATTATGAATTAATAAATGCAGTATATATTATTAAAAATAATTAAATTGAAGCTATATATTAAATTTATGAACAATAATTATATATCACAAATTAAAAGTATTTATAAAATTAATAATAAATCACACAATAAAGTTTTTCAACTTTTTTATTCACTTTTTAAATTTCTATTATTCTTTTTCCTTTCTTTTTGCTATCCTTAAATCAGTTTGGAAAACAAATGATGTCTTTTCATTTTTTTTAGGTGAAGCTTCTGTTTTATTAGCAGTTGATAGAAAGAAGGATTAATTAATTGATTTCGAATGTTTCCTCTAAACACTTGACTATTTGACAGGCCATGGACTTATTGAAGGTCTATAAGTATATTTTGGTGTATCATTTTCTTTTTTCAATTATTATTCATAAATCCATTTATCTCTTTATTGATTCCATTTCAATTAATTATTTACAAATGCATCAGTATATTATGGTGTAAATTTAATATTTTATGATTTTGTACTTAAAGGTTAAAAGGGTATACTTGAATAATATTCTTCTATTTCTTATTATTATTATTATATCTATTCTTAAATTTTGTCATTTTTTGTTTATATAATAAATTTAACTCTTTCATGAATTGGAATGTAGGAATTCGATTTTCTGGTAATACTTTATTCATTATACATTTTAGTACTTTCTAATGTCTATGTAGCTATTCTTGCTGGATCATTATTTTCATAATTACTCATATTATCATGTTTCATATTTGAAGTTAATTCTTATTATACATTCTTTTCTTTATTTAGTAATAAATCACCAAATTTGCTATTTTTTGATGCTTCCATATAATTATTAATCATATCCTAGATTTATTGAGTCTTGTTAATTTTTGGTTTACCTTTACTTTATAGTTATTCATTCTTCATTTATTCCTCTTTCATTTGTAAAATTTTTTTTTGTTTTTCTATTTCATAAGATTTCTATCTTATCTGAAAATCAGAATCCATCTCTACAACCTTCGATTTTACTTATTACATATCATTAAATATTTTAACAGTTGAAGTATTTAACTTTTCTAAAATTGAGTCTTATTCAGATTGTAATGTATATGATCTGAAATGAGATCTTTATTTTAAATGATCATGATAACTCATTTTTGCCTAAATTTTAAGTTGTTTCATTGACAAATAACAATAAATTTTAATTATAAGACTATATTTTATAATAAATCAATTTATAATATGTTATTTATTATAATTAGAGATACCCAATCATAAAAATGAATTATTTCAATTTTTATTTATGATTTATAAAAATATGAATGATGCTTAGATAATTATTTAAGTATTTCAAATTTTTTCATATATGTATAAACAATCTCTATAAAGAATTTAACCTATATAAAATGGCTAAATTAATATAAGAATTCCTTATAGAGTTTTAATACACATTTATTAGTAGAATATATAAATTTATTCTATGATGAAAATAAAAATTGAATAAAATCCAAATTCTTATTTTTGGTGTTTAGATATATCTACATTAATTTAAAACTGATAATCAATCCCATAATTTAAGTACTCCATCCCATCCACAAGTAACTACTTTACTAGGTTCAATAGGATGCCATTCAACACCTATACAAACATTATCATGTGCCTAATTATTAAATAATGTATGATTACTTAGATAGTTCTATAACTTTTGGCTGTTTTCCAATCCCAAAAGAATACTCTACCTTCTGAATCACCAGATGCTAAGAATTAACCATCAGCTGAGAATGTAACTCCACATGCATATCCTGCAGATACATGTCCTTTAAAATTCTTCTTTCTATTCATTCTGAAATTTCCAGCTTTAGTATCATAAACAATAATCTTAATTATTATTATTAATAAATTACTAAATTGTTACTTTATTATCCAACCCAATTAAGTCCAGATGGATTAACAGCAGTAGCTGTAACTGCATGCATTTCAGGATCACTAATGTGTTTTATAACAACAGGGATTCCAAATTCCCAAATGAATAATTTTTTATCATCAGAACTAGAAACAAATTTTCTATTTTAATTAAAATATGTAATAGTGTTAATAGCTTGTAAATGTTCATCATAAACTAATGTTTATTATCCACTTCTAATATCAAATTATTTAATTCTTTTATCTGATGATCCTAAAAGAAAAGAATGTTATTTAGCTGGATCTGGATTTAATCTTACACAATAAGGGAAATGTTATAAATTGATAGTTTAAGTAACTTTACCGTATTCTGTATCCCATACAAGTATCTTTTTATCATAACCAGCAGATAAAAATGTTCTACCATCATTAGAGAAGTTGAGATCTCTTAATGCTCCTTAATGACCATAATATGTTCTAACACATTATTTATTACCAATAATATCCCACATTTTAATTTTATGATCTAAACTACCACTCAACATTAAATGACCAAATTTAGGAAAGAATTTGCATACTTATACACCTTTAGTATGACCATGAAATGTTTATATACATCTTTTTGGTATATAACATGTATGATCAACATATTTTAATTCAGGTGGAGGTGCTATAAATTATCTTCCACCAAATTATTCTGTTTAACTTACATGTTATTCCATATAAGGTACAAAATTTTCTTCTTATTTTTTTGATTCATCTATCTTTTATTTTCTTTATTCTTCTAATTAATCTAATAATTTTTATTATTCTTCATTCATTTATATATTTTCAAATTATTCATCTTATTATCCTGCCCAAGGTCCCATAAATTCTCCTTTAGATGGATCATTTGCTTTCACTCTATTTTATTTTAATTCTTATTATTTTAATTTATCTTCTTTATGCATACCTGCAAGTACATTTTTACTAAATAATGGATCTGCTGCATCTACATCATAACCTTCTTTCATTAAAGTAGATAATTCCTCTTATTTTTAATTACATGCTATCACTCTTCTATTTCTTTCTAATTTAAATTTATCATTATACCATTTGGATCCACTGCAAAACCATATACATTAAATTTATGAAATTATTCCTCGAATACTGCATCATTGTAATATACTGATTCAACATTTCCTGTTAAATGATTCTTTTTCTATCCCAAAAAATTATATGTCTTNATTATCCAACCCAATTAAGTCCAGATGGATTAACAGCAGTAGCTGTAACTGCATGCATTTCAGGATCACTAATGTGTTTTATAACAACAGGGATGCCAAATTCCCAAATGAATAATTTTTTATCATCAGAACTAGAAACAAATTTTCTATTTTAATTAAAATATGTAATAGTGTTAATAGCTTGTAAATGTTCATCATAAACTAATGTTTATTATCCACTTCTAATATCAAATTATTTAATTCTTTTATCTGATGATCCTAAAAGAAAAGAATGTTATTTAGCTGGATCTGGATTTAATCTTACACAATAAGGGAAATGTTATAAATTGATAGTTTAAGTAACTTTACCGTATTCTGTATCCCATACAAGTATCTTTTTATCATAACCAGCAGATAAAAATGTTCTACCATCATTAGAGAAGTTGAGATCTCTTAATGCTCCTTAATGACCATAATATGTTCTAACACATTATTTATTACCAATAATATCCCACATTTTAATTTTATGATCTAAACTACCACTCAACATTAAATGACCAAATTTAGGAAAAAATTTGCATACTTATACACCTTTAGTATGACCATGAAATGTTTATATACATCTTTTTGGTATATAACATGTATGATCAACATATTTTAATTCAGGTGGAGGTGCTATAAATTATCTTCCACCAAATTATTCTGTTTAACTTACATGTTATTCCATATAAGGTACAAAATTTTCTTCTTATTTTTTTGATTCATCTATCTTTTATTTTCTTTATTCTTCTAATTAATCTAATAATTTTTATTATTCTTCATTCATTTATATATTTTCAAATTATTCATCTTATTATCCTGCCCAAGGTCCCATAAATTCTCCTTTAGATGGATCATTTGCTTTCACTCTATTTTATTTTAATTCTTATTATTTTAATTTATCTTCTTTATGCATACCTGCAAGTACATTTTTACTAAATAATGGATCTGCTGCATCTACATCATAACCTTCTTTCATTAAAGTAGATAATTCCTCTTATTTTTAATTACATGCTATCACTCTTCTATTTCTTTCTAATTTAAATTTATCATTATACCATTTGGATCCACTGCAAAACCATATACATTAAATTTATGAAATTATTCCTCGAATACTGCATCATTGTAATATACTGATTCAACATTTCCTGTTAAATGATTCTTTTTCTATCCCAAGAAATTATATGTCTTCGATAATTCAAGAGCTTTCTCTTCCTCTTTCTTCTTCACCAGATGTGAACAATCAACTTCAGGATTTACCAATATTGACTTTGGTTTGTTGTCCATAATTTCTTGTTCATCATCACTATAATCCACTAACATTATTAATTAATTATTTAATTAATTATCTTCTATCTTTATGATAAATTAATAAGTTAACTCTACAAAAACAGAACCAGTATAAAATAATTATGATTAAATGAGAGGTAGTTTGTATTTCATAAATAGGTCCATTTTAATATACTCCATTTACTATAGATCATCCAGGATAACCTGAGGATGATTATTCTGTTAAAGACCCAACTGTAAAGACATTAGATAGATCTAAATAGTGTTTATCACCCTTTAATATCAATAATGAGGTTTCCTTCTTATTTACATTTCTCAGATATCCAATGAAAGGAATTCCTTCATCTAAGATTCAAGCAGCCTTTCATTATTGGCATTTAACTAAAAAAGTCTAGAGACCACTAAAGGTTTTAAAAACCAAAGGAAACTCAAAATAAAATATGCAGAACTTTTAAAAGGCAAATTAAAATTGAATGATAAAGTAAAGAAATATTCTTATATTTTTGATTTGGCTTAATAAGATAATACTCAATAATGTATTAAAAAATGTCAAAAGTTTTAGATGTATTATAACCGACCTCAAAATTAGTTAAATTTTGGAGTGTCTTATATCTATTGATAATGATTATTTAAATTATCATCATCCCTCTATAAATTAAAGCCTTCTTTATGTTATTTCTTACACTTAAAGTAATAGATATACTATTGAACTCTATTTCTACTTTTGCAATAAATGGTGAGATTGAAACTAAACTTATAGTCATCATAAATCATTATTGTAAATAATAATTGATATTTGATCTAGTAATACATTAATGTAAAATAATAGATTTTTCTTGGTTCCATCCTATTTTAACAAAACTATTGGAGCATAATTATTAATTTATTGAGTACAATCCCTAGACTTTTATAGATTTAAAAGAAAGTCTAATTGTAAATATCTATAATATAATTGATAGTGAATATAATATTTTTAATTAATTCTCGCTTTTAAGTATTTTAATAATAAAAGCAATTTTACTGATCCATACTATAACATGTTTTTGGGTATTTAATTTACTAATTGAAAATGAGGATTCCTTTTTAGAATAGTATTTGCATTCCTTATATTATGTACTCAGTATTTTGACTTTCAATTCAGTTTTAATTGATGTAAATAATCAACAAAACATAATTGTATATTGTGTCATTTCATTCTTATCTTTCATTTCTATTTCCTACTTTTTAGCCAAAATGCTAACAATCTTTAAGGAAGATGGATTAGATTAATAATTAAGTGAATTTATGACTTAAAATAATCTAGATTCAACTCTAAAATAAAAAATAATAAGTCATTTATTATATTAACCTAAATACATACATGATAAATTTATTTCAAAATTATCTAGTAATTTAATTTAAGAATATAAAATAAGTCAAAGATCCAAATTAATAAACTAATATTTTAAATACTTTAATAAAAATACTATTAAATCTATTATTGATAATAGTTATGAAATAGTAACTTAACCTAATTAAACTATAATTTAAGAAGATGTATTGGATGATTGTTCATTATATTTTATTTTAGAAGGTTTAGTTTGTTTGAAATCTAGGACTAATATCAAATTATAAATTTTGAAATAAAATGATTCATTTGGAGAAATAGGATTTTATACTTAAAAACCAAGGAATTTTACTATTCAAAGTGAAGGAATAACTAGACTTTTGAAAATAGAACGAACAACATTCTTATAGTGTTTAAATTTCAATGATAAAGTAAAATTAAATAATATTAATTAGTAATTATTTTATCAATAGAGAGATAAAATATTATTTAATTTAGGTTTACCAATTAAATGTGCATGTTGTTTTAGAGATGATCATATAATAACAAGATGTCCTTTATTAACATATAAACCTAATCAAAGTTTTATTTTAAAGAAGTTTATTTTTCCACATAAATAATTTAGGAAAGAATGTAATTATTATATTTATATTATACATATTTATATAGATAAAAGAAGAAACTTTAAAGATATGAGAGCATTAAATTTTTATTAATGTGCTTCACAATATGAAGTGGCATTTTTAAAATTATTCTCTGATCAATTATAAATATCATAATTTAGTCAATCATAATTACCATATGATGATTTTGCTATTCGTGATTCAAATGTAAGTGCTAGAAGTCTAACCAAATTAAGTAGAGATAGATCAATTGTCAAATCCACTTCATTTATGAAGTAATAATCTGGTTATGAATAATAATCCATACCTAATAACACAGATAATTTATTGTATTTATAAATATCATTAAAAGCTCTAATTATGATTAAGATAATGAATTTCAAATCATAAATAATAATAATTCAGATAAAAAGTATGATGAATTCGAATCATTAGTAAGAACTGATCAACAAAAAAGAACATTTGCAACTGCTGGATTTGGATCTTAAAGCTTAGCTGCTTCAAATAAAGATTTAACATAAAAATCTTTAAATATCATTCTGGAAAATGAAGACTCTGACAGTATCTCTGAACAAAAATCTAAATCTGTAGAAGAAGAGAATGTTGTTGATTCACCTCAAGATAAATTTGAAAGGAAAAATAATGATCCAAAATTAACATTCAATTACAATTTTGAAACTTAAATGAATGAACTTCAAAAGTAAAATTAAAGTCATCCTCGTTTATCTCGTCTAGGATCTGGCTCTATTAGATAATAAAGTTCAAGGAATAGTACATATAAATATCCAGATATAATAAGTTAACGTTAAAATTCTTCTAGATCATTAACTTACAGCCCTATCCCATCTAATAGTTAAATTAAATCAGGAATGCCATCCTCTAAACAAAATAGAAAATCTACATTCTCTTTTCCCTAAAAATTAATTTAACAAACACGTTAAGTTGATATTGCTAATTTTGATGATAGTAGAAGTTAATAATAATAAAGACATTCAATTAGAAAAATCTCTACTAAAACTGGAACAAAGATTTCTATTATGCCCTCTTGTTTTTAACCATTCAGTTATGTAGATGTATTAATATCTAATTAAATTAAGTTACCTCTCTATTCTAATAACTCATTTGGATTAAATAATTTTGATTCTATGTATTCATTTGATTACTATTTGCCCCATAATAATTATGAAATTGCCATTTACAAGTATTTTATTGAATAATCTATTAAGAGCTAATAAATTTAGATATATTAGAGAAATCAATATTTCAAAGTATTTTAATGACTATCATCTATCAAATATGATAAAATTATTAAAATAAAAAAGATTGAAATCTGTTAAAACTTTTACAAGTTAAAAATAATTAGAATGATTATTTAATTAATTAATTATATTTATTTATTTTCTTAATTTATTTCATCACATAAATTATAAAACTTAAAGATTCGGTAAATCGCAAAAAATGTTTTGAACTTTATTATGAATTATTTTCGTTTTGTCTCCAATACATATATGTATATTTTAATTTCTAAACAAAATAAATATGTTTTAATTAATTATCATAATAGCTAACTTTTAAATAATAATATGGGATGCAATGTATAGAAAACAAAGAGTTTATCAAATAAACTTATTCAATATCCTTTAAAAGTAAACGAAAATGCTATTATAAATCATAATAATCAAGGCTAGATTAATGGATAAAAGAGTGATATTAAAGAAACAGATAATTTTATGGTCTAATAACCACAAATAGGCAGAAGACTTAAACATATGGTTAGTGCAGATGAACTTTCAAAATTCATTAATAGAAAATAAAACATCCCTATGAGTCCTTTTGGATATATTAAAAATTCACCTAAATAAATAAAAAAATAGTCTTTGATGAAGAGTCCAAAAATATGAATTTAATTATATCTATCTTTTTTATTAATGATTCTTGATTACTAATACAAATTTGATATCTATTATATAAACAAAGATAAGAAATCAAATGTTCTCAAAGCCATTAAATTCAATATTCTAATTTCTTCCTAAGAAGTTATGTTCCAATGTCTGTCTAAGGCATAATTGTAGACAAGACCAATTCAGATTTTTAATCATTAATCCTTGAATTTTCTAATAATATAATAATTCTATACTATATGATGATAAAGGATTCTTTAAAGAAGTAACACTAGTTCTTGTTTGGCATTATTATTGATTTAAATGTTTAAGAATATTTTACTAAATTTCTTGTAATTTAACTGATTATTTTGAATTCCTTTTTATGTTTTCACTTTAATTAAGTTGTCTTCCATTTGATTTTGATGAATTACATCCCATTTGAAAAATCAATATTAAATTAAATAATAAATATAAAAAATTCATTTAAAGAATCATCAATATTTATTAATTGAAATCTTAAATTTTACATAGTTAATAAAGCTTTGTTTATAAGTACTAAATATTTCAAATATATTTATATTAATTTAAAAAGATTTTACTCCTTATGGGTTGTTCTGCTACTAAATAATAAACAAAGANAATGACTATCATCTATCAAATATGATAAAATTATTAAAATAAAAAAGATTGAAATCTGTTAAAACTTTTACAAGTTAAAAATAATTAGAATGATTATTTAATTAATTAATTATATTTATTTATTTTCTTAATTTATTTCATCACATAAATTATAAAACTTAAAGATTCGGTAAATCGCAAAAAATGTTTTGAACTTTATTATGAATTATTTTCGTTTTGTCTCCAATACATATATGTATATTTTAATTTCTAAACAAAATAAATATGTTTTAATTAATTATCATAATAGCTAACTTTTAAATAATAATATGGGATGCAATGTATAGAAAACAAAGAGTTTATCAAATAAACTTATTCAATATCCTTTAAAAGTAAACGAAAATGCTATTATAAATCATAATAATCAAGGCTAGATTAATGGATAAAAGAGTGATATTAAAGAAACAGATAATTTTATGGTCTAATAACCACAAATAGGCAGAAGACTTAAACATATGGTTAGTGCAGATGAACTTTCAAAATTCATTAATAGAAAATAAAACATCCCTATGAGTCCTTTTGGATATATTAAAAATTCACCTAAATAAATAAAAAAATAGTCTTTGATGAAGAGTCCAAAAATATGAATTTAATTATATCTATCTTTTTTATTAATGATTCTTGATTACTAATACAAATTTGATATCTATTATATAAACAAAGATAAGAAATCAAATGTTCTCAAAGCCATTAAATTCAATATTCTAATTTCTTCCTAAGAAGTTATGTTCCAATGTCTGTCTAAGGCATAATTGTAGACAAGACCAATTCAGATTTTTAATCATTAATCCTTGAATTTTCTAATAATATAATAATTCTATACTATATGATGATAAAGGATTCTTTAAAGAAGTAACACTAGTTCTTGTTTGGCATTATTATTGATTTAAATGTTTAAGAATATTTTACTAAATTTCTTGTAATTTAACTGATTATTTTGAATTCCTTTTTATGTTTTCACTTTAATTAAGTTGTCTTCCATTTGATTTTGATGAATTACATCCCATTTGAAAAATCAATATTAAATTAAATAATAAATATAAAAAATTCATTTAAAGAATCATCAATATTTATTAATTGAAATCTTAAATTTTACATAGTTAATAAAGCTTTGTTTATAAGTACTAAATATTTCAAATATATTTATATTAATTTAAAAAGATTTTACTCCTTATGGGTTGTTCTGCTACTAAATAATAAACAAAGACTGTTTTAGAGCCAAATGAGAATCAATTCAAATAAAAAAATGAAGATTCTAAGGCTGAACTTAAATAATTTAGAATCAATAAAAATCCTATACTTTAAAGAAGAGCCAGCTAGAAAAGTCCTTTAACTAATCATGAGTCCTTTTTGACTAGAAATACTTGAATGCTTTACTTTTGTTTTGATTTATGCTCATATATATTATCATAATCCTTTTTATTTGATTCATTTTAAACTAAAAATATAATCACTTATGGTGATCTAACTCATTTAGAACCTCGACTTTTAAATAAAGAAGAAGCAGTAATGTACTTAGATATCTTACTTTAATTTCTAATTAAGTAGTATAACATAATTTATAAAATTATTGATAAGAAGTAAGAAAGTATAAAGAGTAAGAATTAGGATTATATTGTGATAAAAAAATGTAAATTTATATTTTGATCTTGAGAATAAAGATTTATTGCAAACATTAGTGAAATTTTGAATTAATGTCAGAATTCTAATAATAATAATGATATTTCTAATTTTAGTAATATATATTAATATATATATATATGTTTCTATAGTATATTAAAGATAATCTTAAATTGATGAATAATTAGAAATATAAATCTAATTTGACTCATTTATACATATATAAATAATTAAAAATCATTTATTATTGCATATGGGTTGTGTTAGTTAAAAATAAAGTCCGATTTAACAGCAAAATAAATTTAGATTTCACACCTCCTCTTTTTCAAATATTCATCAAAATAAAAAAGTGAATATTGAATCACCTTATACACCAGATAATAATAAACCTATTTTATTGTGTAGATCGATTGATATAACAAAAGATGAAGAATTTATTTTAAAAAGAGATAAGAAATTTATTGTTTCAAATAATGAATCACCTACTACAACACCAAAATTTAATTAATCAAATTCAGTGTATGTTGGACAAAGAAAAAATATGAAAGTGATATGAAACCAACTTATCAAATATGAAGAATTTATGAATTTTTGTTGAATATATAAATATTGTTAACAACACTTAGATTACCAGTCTTTTAATTTTTTATATTTTTAAATATCGATTAATTATTTTTACAGGAATATATTTAGATTTCATTAAAAATAACGAACACATTTGTCCATAAATAATAATATTTGATTTTTTAATCAAATAAATCTTAATAATAAAAATCATTTATATAATATTAATTAAGTTAAATAAAATTATCTTACTCAAAGAATATTCATGATTTGTATGTATTTTTGATTCAATTTCATAACTAATATAAGTTTGTAGAATATTGGTATAAAAAATTGTAAATTTTAAAATTAATATTATTTAATTAATTATCATGCTTTGATCATAACAATAACTCTCAAGAAGATAATTCAATTTAAGATTATAAGAAATAGTAATCAAAGGTAAATTATAGATCAATGAATTTGTGAAATTATTATTTTTTGGTTAATCTTTCTAAATCATTCAGAAATAGGATGACCAAAGATTTAAATCTTAATTAACTATAGAGGATAGGGAAATTAGGAATTGAAATAATTATTTATGTATCAACAATAACACTATTGTTTATTTGTTGATACATAAATAATGTAATAGACGATGAATTAATGTATAATGCTTTTAAATTAAAATATATTTTGAAGATTCTAAATAACTATTTATATAGATAGAGTTTAATAAATCACATTTTTTTTTAGTTCAAAATCTAATTTGACATTTGATACAAAAACCTATAGAGTAAGATTGAATAAATCATCATAAAAAATAACATTATTTTTGACATTATTTAATAAATGAATATATTTATGGAGAAAACTTATATGACAATAAAAGTCTAGTAACAATTTAAAGATTTATTTTTAAAAAACTTTCTAGATGTTAATTAATAAAAAACACATTCAAATAACAAAGAGAAATGGAAGAATGATTATGAGATGTAATAAAATATTTATAAAAAATTAGTTATTTTAAAATGCTAATTAATTATTTTCTATAAAATATTTATAATAACAAAATAATTAGTTAAAATACTATTATTATATATATATAAATTGAAAATATATCAATAAGATCATTTGGTATTCTAATTAAAGATGAAACTATGTTATTTCAGAAAGTTGGAGATTCCAAATATTAAAAGATGAGAAATTAATAAAAATTCTTATAATAATATAGATTTTTTATCTTTATTTTGAGTACAAGATTTGAAGGGAAAAGTATAATATTCTCAAGTCTTTTCATAGTTATTCATAAAAAATTATATATGCACCTTTGTCTGAGAGATGTTTATTATTTTTATCTTTAGTTACAATATTGTCATCAAAATGATACCAAGTATTTTATCTTTAAGCATATGCTACATAATGTCCTCCATTTAACTATCCCATATGTGAGATAACACCCTTCAAAGTATATTTTGTGTATTCAACATTTTCAGCACAAAACCTAAAGATTAATTTAATAATATACTATTTAATATCGAGAATTTCTGGATAAGTTACTTCATCAGTAATCTTTTGGCTTTTAGGGAATTAAGTAAAGCGTTTAAGATGTAGAATAAGATATTTTGGAGTTTAAGTGATTTATATCTTTCTAAGAACAGATTTATTAATAAATTAGCATTTATCACATTTCCAAGCATCATTGATTTACTCTTCTTTAAAATAGTTCTAAAGACAATCTTATAATTTAAATTCTCTAGGTATATAATATTTTGATAGAGGAAGATTCAAATCTAAAATTGGATCAAAGCCCTCACTAATTTCTTTACATTTTAGACAATGTGATTTACTTGCTATCTAACCAGCAAATAAATCAGTTATTATATCAGGATTTCTGGTTTTATAAACATCCCAAGCTTCTAAAGCATTTTGAAATTCTTCTTTTTAATATTTATTCTTTCCTACTAATTCTTGTTAAATTTCAGATAAGAGATATAATAAGAATTCATGAGCATCTTACTATTATGAATATTTAAATTTATTTAAACACATATTTTAAAGTTTCTCTACAGAAATAGCTGATCCAGGAATAGAACTCTGTACAAGTCTTAATAAGTCTTGATATGCCATTGTAAATTTTTTATTTGATTACTTTTACTATTTTAATAATGAATCATTTAATTCTCTTATACTCAAAAGACATTGTAAAGCTGAGTTCATATAACAATAATATTTTGGGTTTTGTAGACCCACATAAGGAAGTTCATAAGGTTTTGGTTCAATTTTTATTATATTAGTTTTCTATGGATATGGTCTTCGAGTAGTATTTGTATTTGGAGATTTATCTGAATCATCCAAATTATTGTACTCTAACTTTGCTATATCAATCAAAGGCTCTATTGATAATTTGGTTGTATTAGCTGTATTGGAAGTAACATTAGTTTAACCATCATTAATAATATCTGGAGATGTCACAGGTTTCTCTAAATCTATTATTATCTTGGGTCCTCCACCATATAAGAGATGTATAAAAGTCCATGATCTCTCATTTAAAAGCACATAATGTTTATCTGGTTATAAACCAGGTAGAAGTTAAGAATCCTTTTAAGATTTGATTATGATTAGTTCTTTTTGAGTATTGTCTTCAGTCAACAATTTAGTATTATTAATTTTTTTTGGCACTTCCTAAATCCTTCTTTCTAAAAATGTTGTATAATTAACAGCCCATTTGTACTCAACAAAATAAAGAGTTGGTATATCCTCTTCAATTAAAGATGTTACAAATGATTTTTCTATATCGATGCTAAAGAACTTAAATATTATATATACCTCAAGTTAAGTTTACCTTCTTCTCTGTATAGTTTAATTCTGTTAACTATATTTTAAATCTCTTAAAGCTTTTTGTCTTTTTAATTCAATTCCATAATTAGTTATTTATTTGCGGTGTCTTAGACTGGTTCTTTGTGTATTTATTCCTCACACTTACTTTATTTGATTGATTCAACATCAGAATATGCTGTAGTCGATGTATTTTTTTGAGATCTAATAAGATTATTTAGACTTATTGCATACTTATCTTATTTAGGCTTGGTATTGCAGCAAATAAACATAAATTTTATATTTAATATCTATCTATATTTTGAAATCAATAATAAATTCTGTTGTTAATCTGCAATGTATCAAGAATATATTCTAAGCATTCTTAACTAATTTAACAATCAATAATGTTTTTAATTGGATTCATAAAATAACAAAAATTTCAAAAAATTCCTTTTTAACAATTCTAATCCTTAAAAATTAATATTATATTCAGAATTTCTAATTTATTCTTACATAAGAATAAAGTATAATTATTAATTACTTTATGAGAACTTCAAATAATTATAATTAATTTATAAATATATATTGATGCTACCAGACACAAACTAATAACCTTAATTAATTGAAGAATATGGAGGATTTCCAGGATCTAAATCATTTTCTATATTAGGACTTTTGACATTAGCTCTTGTTTATGCTAAAATGACTGTTCACTTTTATGTCAAATGGACAGTCATCTTAAGTCCTATGATTTTCTTTTTTTCCTATAAATTCTTAAAGAGCATTTACAATATTAGTCAGCAATCTCGTAAAGATAAGAATTAAAGTCTTAAATAGAGGAAAATTATTATGTTATGGAATTTATGCTAATTATTAATTACAGCACCTTTGGCAGTGTCAACATTTTATTTGGGAGATCTTATTGAAAAAGCTATTTAATAATAAGATATAGCTGAACCTTTAACACATTTATTTGCATGTTTTGCATTCACATTATTAGTATATTTACTATATTCATTAAGTTAATAAAAAGAAACATCTTAAAATTAATCAGGTAATAAAAGCATTATATTGAACTTTTTACTTTCTATGTTTGGTAATTCAGTAAGTTTTTGTGCTGGAGGAGTTTGCAATTCATTTTATATATCAACACTTTCAGCATTTTTTTCTGCTTTTGGAATTCCAATTACTCAATATTTACATTATTTAAATTATCTTTGTATTATTCTATTAGCTTTTTCTCTATTATCATTATATTCAGTCAAAGAATCAATATTTTATGCTCCATTTTTGATAACCTTAATTGGTTCAAGTTTAATTGTTAATGAAATGTTTTTTTATAAATTGCCATATGCAATTTGGATTGGAAATGGTATGATTATTGGATCAGCTTTTTGGAATTCAAGATTGAATTAATTTAGCTTCTTCAAAAGGAAGAAATGATATTTTTTGTTTATAATTTCTATAATTGTTTTTATATATTAATAAATAGAATCTCATAAATTGATATTTTATAGCAAGAATAAATAATAATAAAAAGCTTAATTAAAATTCATTTTATATTATAAAAGGAATAAGAATAATTAAAAAGGAAGATGGATTAATTATTTAAATGATCTAAAAAATAATTCTAAATATAATGTTTTTGGATTGAAGAAGAAAATTAAAAAAGATAAAAAAAGAACAATATAACAAATATAAGATGTAGAAAAATCCTTTTAATTTAAAAAAAAAATAATTAAAAAAATCTGAAAGTATAGTAGATGCTGCTTGTATAAAAAAAAGAGACAATGATATATCCTATTAGTTATTGTAAAGTAATTGAAATGTGACAATCATTCTAATTATAACATAAGAAATTAATTATCATTTCACTTTTTGACAACTTCTAACTTCCATAACAAGTGATCACTTATTGATATTCTTGTGTTATTTTCTACTAACATATCCCAATCTGATTTCTTTTCATTGATATATGGTACCCAAATCCTTCCTTTTAAAGGTTCATTCGGGTTATCAATTTCTATTCCTAGTACTTTTAGAATTCTAAGCAGTACCATCTAATTTTTAAATGTAATAGTGAAACCGATCATCAGCAGGATCATAAACTGAGATAAAATTACCATCACATTTGTCAGATACTTTTTCACTGAAACATATTCCATTCATGACATTCATAATAAGATCACTCTTCTATTTCTCATCAAAGTATTTATACTGCTTCTCAGTCCTATTATCAGGATGCAGAATTCTGATAACAAAACCTTGTTTCATGTCTTCTAACTGTATATAGAATTCAAATTCATTACTTTTTTATTTCCATTTGATTTTACGCATCCCATTTATTTTAATGTTATAAATCGATGTTATTTGTTTTGGATTAGCCATAGAAGTTGAAAGACTTTAAGCACTTACATAATAACTTAAATTAGACATTGCTCAATTAAATCAAATCAATAAAGTCCATCTTAATACAATTGATTAAAATACTATTCATATCCAACATCTCACAAGAAAATTAGATGAAATTAATAGAACATAAAATCAACTAGATTAAGATTATAATCAATTGAAATAACAACATGATTATGTTATTGATATTATTTCATAAATAACAGGAGATGAGTTGACATTAGAAGAATTGACTGAATTAATTGAAGAGCTTAAAAGAAGATCTCTCAAATATGATGAGATCCAAGAACTTCTTAATGGACAAGATATAAATGAGATTATTTCTAAATCAGAACAGTTCATAATCTAATATAATATCAATCAAGAATTAAAGGATTAATTAGAGTAATATCCTCAAATTGTTATAAGTCTAAATCAAGATATATAAAAACAAAAACTAGAAATCTAAAATAAAAAATTATAAATCAATCAGTTAACAGAATTAAATTCTTAACTTCAAGATTAAATAACTTAATCATTATTAGATTAACGTCAAAATTTGGATTTATATAATTCTAACTAGAATTTAAATTCCACTTAATCACCTAAACAAGAATAAAATGAAAAATGGTAAATTGAATTAAAGAATAAATTAATCTCTTTAGAATAATAAAATAAATGTTTAAAAGAAGAAATGCAATCCATAACTAATCTAAAAATATAAATTGAAGGTAAACTTAGAAATTCTCTTATAGATTAAAATAAAATTTTATCTGAAAAAGAAAAGTTATCAAAAGAAACTTTCTATTTAGTTAGTTTATCTAATAACTTTAAAACACAACTATAAAATAAATAAAATACTATTATTGAACTAACTAATCGAATCTCGTCACTAGAAAATTAAATCAAAAATAAAGATGAAATATAAATAAATTAAAATATAGACTTAGAAAATATTAAACAATAAGAAGTTTACAATTTAAATTAATAATTGTCATAAAAAACTCATGAAATCTAAGAAATAAGTCTATAAAATTTAAGATTAAATGATGAAGTGCAAAAACTTAGTGAATAACTTAAAAATTCATTGAAAGTGAACAAACATTCAAAAGAATTTTCTCAATAAATAGAAATAATACAAGATAAATTACTTTAAAATAAAAGTATTATGTAGATGTAAGATAATTAATTATAACTTTTATAATAACAATCTATTAATGATAAAAAAGAATTGCAATAACATTATTTAGAAATTATTGATTAATTAAATAATGATTCTTCAAAACTTAAATTATAATTAGACTAATCTTAAAATAAAATTCACTAATTAGAAGATCAATTATTTCAAGTTAAATCTGAATTTAAATAAATTAAAAATTTGTTAGATTCAAAAGAGATTGAAATAATTAAATTAAGTGGTTTTAATAAAAAGATCTAAGAATCCAATGACAAACATATTTAACAAAATTAAGAGTTAGAATAATAAATTAGATAATTATAGTTTAAGTATAACTCTTAGTAAAAAATTAATCAAGAAGGTTCTAGATCATCAGAATATATGAAATCATAAGTTTTAGATAAAATCAAATCAGAAAACTAATAATATTAATAGGATATATATAAATTAGAATTATTAAATCAAGAATTAATTTAGTAAATGGCTTCAATGAAATTTGAGATAAATAACTATTAGATACAAATCACAAATTTAACAATGTAGATTGAAAATGAATAATTTCAATAGGCAAATGAATTATATATAAAAAATAGTTCAAATAAATTAGAACTTGAATAAAAAAGTAGATTAATTAATCAACTTGAAAAAATGATTGAAGAATAAAATTTAACTATACAAGAATAAATTAATAAAATTAAAATATTTGAAAATGATAATCTAAATTATAAAAAAGAATTGAATGCATAAAAGTTATCTATTGATGAAAAAGAATTATTCATTAGGTAATTATAATAAGAATTACACTAATTAAGCAATTAAATTAGAAAAATGTAAAAAGAGTTTGATATATTGTAAGAAATAAATTAAAATAAAATCTAAGAAAATAATGATTTAAAAACATAAATAACTAATTTAAGGATGGAATAGAAGGTTGAAAATGAATAAATTAAACCTCAATTATTAGAAGAAATTTAGAGTTAAAATAATGAATTGTTAATATAAATTTAGTAATTAAATTAATAAATTTATGATAAAAGCTCTCAATTAGAATAAAAATGGCAGTTGATTGATAAATTTAATTTGAAAATTATGAATCAGAATGCAGAAATATGTTAACTGAAATAGTAAGTAGCAATTTAAGAAAAATAAATCAGATAATTTGAAAACAATCTTTAAACTTCATAATAAAGATGTGAAGTAGAATATATAGATAATTAAAAAATGAATGAGATAACTTAATTAAATATTAGATTAAGTAAAGTTATTGATGAAAAAGAACAAAAAATTCTTATATAAAAATAAGATTTATAAGTATTATAAAATAAATTTGAAGAAATTGAATAAATCAATAAAAATTTAATCAATTAATTAAGTGAAAAAAAATCATTATGTTAATCTCAATCAGATTAATTTTCAAAATCTCTTATATCTTCAGATACTCTCTTCCCATAGAACATTGAAAATGAATATTATTAACAACTCTAAATATTATAAAAGAAATACGATGCTATTCTTAAAGAAAATTCAATATTGATTATTAATTCTCATTAAATAGAAGATTATAAAAATAAAATTGCACTGTTGTCTTTGGAAGTTTCAAGATATCATAATTCCTAAAAAGGATTGTTAAATTAAAGTGGAAATCCTAAAAAGGAAGATAATACTATTAATAAAATAAAAAGTTTAAGCTAAGAAAGAGGAAATAATTTAAAAACACAACAAAATGTTGATAACAACTATAAAGAACGTGATTTATTTTGCTTGATAGTTTTATTATTTGCAGAAATTGAATCTCTAAGAACTGTAGATGATGAAAAAAAAATAGAAGATAAATCAAAAGTATAACGAATTATAGATTATTATCGTTAAAAGCCTTAATGATAATTATATATAATTTATCTATTTTACTATATTCTTCTTATTATACACAGTTAATGATTATATTAAGTAATAAAACGAATAAGACTTAAAAAATCTTATATTATTATTATTATTAAATAATTATTTCTAATTCAATTCAAGAAAACAATTAGCTAGTTGCAACTTTCACTTTCTTTTTTTTACATAATAATTTCCAAATATAAAGTGTTTTAGGAATTAGCTACTTCATAAAAACAATTGCAAGACTCAAAATCAAAAAAATCATCTAAATAAATCCCAGAAAAACTTTGTTTTCATAAGAAATATCAATCTGACCAATATCTAAATATAAAAATAAGCTTAAACTAAATACTGTTAAAATTCCTTCAATATGTAAGAATATAATCCTATCTGATTTAGAACATTATTTATATTGGTATATTAAATAACATTAGCTTATACTACTGAAAGATATTAATAAGCACTATAAGATTTATTAATCTTAGAATAGTATTAATACTGTATGGAAAAACATAGTTCTACATATATCGAAGATAATAAATTTTATTTCTAGTTTCTCTAGCTTTGCTTTTACATTGCTTTAAATAGCAGCGCCGAATAAATTAAATGATTTTAATAAAAAGCTAATACATATGAAAAATATTAAAGAAGCAAAAAAAGTGGTTAAAATGCTCCTCAAATTTTCTATTTGATTATAATGAAATTACAAAATCACTTTAAAAATCAAATCCCATGAATTAATGTAAATAAGTTATATTATTTGATCATAATTCTATAGATATCTTATTTTCATTAATGATTTAATAAAATTTCTAAAAAATAATATTAATTTAATAATTGTTAATAAAATCTTTGATTGTAAAGTTTTTTTGTGTTAAATAATTCTCATATATTTACTTAATAAAAAAAATTTAGAATAAAGACTTTTGGCTAAAAGAAGTAATGTTACTAATCCTAAAATTTAAATTAACTGGGGTAAAATATTGGTAAAAAGATCTGCTTCTATATTATATTATTCAAATTTTTCACTTAAATTAATTTATTTTTCTTTTCTTGTTATTAAATTTAAATAATCATCAATTTCAAAAAGTTTTAAATAAGATGATATAGATAGCAACTCCTATGCTTAAAAATATATGTATAGATTTTCAGGATAATCTACATTAATAAATCTTAAGTATGATTGATATTACAGAAGATTTAGGGTTTCAACAACGATCGAACTTTCACCAGAAACTAAAGAAATTACACATAAAGAAATTGCTCCTATCATAAATGCTTTATTTGATTATTAAGCATAATTAGATACTTATCTTACTTATTCAGTTATTATTTTTGGGGGTTAAAGATAAATTTACTAAATAGGATTTAAAAGTGTTTAATTATTTGAGTTAACAATTTCATGATTCAGTTAAACTTAAAGAACTGGTTTTGTTGAAAGCTATGAAAATATTTGAATGACAACTTAATACTATGCATATTAAAGATCAAATTATATATCTTAAATTTAATTGATTGTGATGTTATAACTCTTTTAATCTAAGTAATCGATGCTTATATTAAATAACTATTCGTCTTTTGATAATTAATCTCTGAATTTTACTTCTTAATCGAATGTAATTTCAACATATTATAGAGCAAAGTATTACTTTTTAAAAGTCAATTTCATGCTGGGTTTTTTGGAGTAAACACATTCATATTCTCTGCAAATCTTATTTTCATTTAATGATAACCATTAAGGATTTACACTGTTATTTATTGTATCATTATTTTATGGTTTGTCAATAATGTTAGAATTTATATCATCTTTTTATTTGATAAGCAAACATTAATTATTCTTTAAGACGTAATCTATATCACATTATTGGCATTTTGTTTTTTCGCAAATTTTGCAATTTTTTGAACAATCAAATTAACATTCAAAACAACCATCATTTGGTTAATCATTTTAATCATCACAGTCTTCATATTCATCAATTACAATTCCATCTCCACAAATTGGAATACAAGAAGTTAAATAAGGATAAAAACCTTCTTAACACTAAAAACATTCTTGTAAATTACATTTACTACAATTAGGTTAACACTTAAATTGACAATTAATACACCATTCAATATCAAGATCGCATTATTCATTTGAATATAGAATCACAATACCATCTCCACATTCTGGTTCACATATAAAATTAGTATTCAAAATATAACCAAGAATACATCCTTAACATTTTCCAAATTAACAATCATTACAATTGATATCACATTAAAATTTACAATAATAACAACCATCAAATGGAATAATATTGTTATCTTCACATTCTTCATCATCCATTATTTTATTATCCCCACATAAATTTATATTATCATTAACATAAAATATTTTAGTTATATGATTTGAAATACATTCATTATGAAATAAATAATTTCCTTATGAGCATAAATCACATATCCCATCTTAACAATTCATGCAATTGATATCACAATTTTAATTAAGTGATATTAATTGATATTTAGTTTCACCTTAGTTAATAAAAAGTTAGTTTTTTTATAATATTAGATAACATTTAGATTATATTAATTCATAACCTTCTTAACAATCATAACAGATTCCTTTAATACAATTAAGACATTAATCTTAACAAGTAAATTAACAGAAATGACATCCATCTCCAATTAATAAATTACCATCATCACATTCTTCATCTTCTGTTATTATGGTGTCACCACAAATTGAATAACATAAATTATCAATTCTATTGTAACCATTTTTACATGATATACAACCAAGTCCAGTAGTATCACAAGTAAGGCAAGAACTTTGGCATCTTGCTTAGCAATTTATACAACCTTTATATGGTAATATATATGAATTTTCGCATTGTTCTCCAACCACTATCATTGAATCTCCACAAATTGGTAAACATACTTTTTAACTAGAAAGAATATATCCAGTAGCACATATTTCACATCTATTACTTACACAACTAGTACAAATAGTTGATGACTAACATTAAAAGTAACAAGAGCTACTGCAACCATCACCATTAATTGTATTTCCATCATCACATTCTTCTGAATAGAACCCATAAGGATCTGTCACAACTAAACCATCTCCACATGTATTCTTACAATAGTAAGAAGTAGGAGCAAAACCAGGAAATTCACAACTTAAACACTTTTTATTTGTATAATCACAAGAAGAACAACCAATTCTACAGAAATACTTACAATCTTTGCAACCATCTGTATCACTTAGATTTCCATCATCACATTATTCACTCCCAACTATTTGCAAATCATAACATCTTTCCTTACATTACCAAGGAGTAACTGTTGGATCAATGTACCAACCAGCAGTAGCACATTCAAAACATTTACCTTATATACACTTTGTACATGAAGTTTAACATTAATATTTACAATTAAAACATCCATCATATTATATATTATTTCCATCTTCACATTCTTCATTTCCTGTAATAATTCCATCTCCACAAATATCAGGACAAGGTAAAGTAGTTGATTAATCACAAGTTAAACAATGAGTTGGACATTAAAATTAACAATTATAGCATTTATCATCAAGAATTGTATTATTATCTTCACATTATTCATATCCTTTTATTTATGAATCACCACAAATTGGTTGACATTCTCCATAAACTAAATTAAATCCAGAATCACAAGAAGTACAAGTATTAGTATGCCATATTTATTAATTATTATTACATTATTTATAACATTGACTTAGAGATGTATCTTCACTATTTGGACAATCTATAATAATTATTATTATATATACTTGTACAAATATTACTTAATTCATAATAACCAGGTGCACAAACACATTTTAACCCTTTTAATATTCTATTTAAACTTAGATCACATGTTAAGCAACCATCAATTGTTGTTCTAAAGCAACTTAAGCATGATGGATGGCAAGATGAACAAGTTTTTATTTCTTCTTAATAAGATGACCCTGTTGGGCATCTACATGTTGAACCTACCTTTTCAATATTAACAATATCATTGCAAGTTAAACATTATTCAGAAGTAGGTCCAATACAAGTTTTACAAAATTAATGACATATTTAACACTAAGGGTTTGATACAATTGGATAAAACCCATCAAAACAATTACATTACCCATTTGATAATTGTCTAAAATTACTATTTAAACATTCTATACAATAAGTAGAACTTAAGCATTAATTGCATTCAATAGGACAATCAAAACATTGATTTGATTCTTCATATTGATTCATTTTACAAATACATCCTAATTTAGTTTATACATAAGTTGGTTAGCATGTTTAACAATCTATTGTAGATGTACATGTTAAACAAGATAATGGACAATCTAAACATCTAATAGAATCCTTATCATAATATTAATTAACTAAGCATTCTGATTAAGAAAATCTAACAATACTAGCATCATAAGTGCTGTTCCATAAAGTACATGTAGTTTAGTCTGAACATTACAAACAATAAGGTTTGCAATCATGGACAGCAATATAATAATTATAAAATCCACAATAGGCTTTAATAGGTTCATTATTTGGACCTAAGCATTCCCAAGTGATTGTTAATGTATTTGAATTATGAATGATTTTTTCATAAACTTTATAGTATTTTGACCCATCATAATTCAATGAACTATCTACACTTGATTTAGAAACTGGTGTATTATTTTCAATTGTATATATAAAATTCCCATCTGAAGGGAATGATGGACCGTAAAGTATATAAAATGCAATAGTGACACTATGATGTGGAGATATTATATTATGAACTCTTTAGAATTTAGCTTAGGCCCACACAAAAGGTCCTCCAAAGACTCTAATTCCTTAAATATATGAATAATAGATATCTGATCCTTTTAAAAAGTTTATTCCATTTTAAGAGATTAAAGTGTATTATGAATATTATCCAGGGTCGTTGGCAGCATTTATATATTCTTTAATCAAATAGTAAGAGTCTAAATATTATAATAAGATACAAGGTGTTTCATCATCGTAATCTTAACAATAAGAACCATTTAATTTCTAATATGGAGATTGGCAATTACTTATGCAACTACCATCTCGATAAAAATAATATCCATAATAACATTACTTACATTTAAATGATACTTCACACTAAGTACAATCTTCATGACAATATCCTGTTGTAACCTAGATTGAAGCTATTGCCCATCCTGCTGTGTCATCACTAATCTAAATAAATTTATATATACGTATAATTTCCTGTTGCTGAAAATAAAAATGGGTATCTAGGAATGTCAACATATGTAATTAAATCATATTTTTTATTTGAGGAATATGTTAAATATACACTCTCAAGTTCAATATTATAGATTATTAATTTATTAGTTTGAATACCAGAGGCACTTCTATAAATAGATCCAAAAATAGTATTATTAATCATAAACTATATTCCACAATTTATTGGAATTTCGTTAAAAGTTACAATTTTAATTTTCAATCCAATTTAGTAATTTGGATAAGAAGACTATATCCTTTTAAAGTATCTATAGAAACCTGAATTAAACTTAAAGATTCCATATATTAATTTACTAAGTATAATTGTTGCAGATGAATCTATATGTTGTGGGTCATATATTAAAAACCAATTTAAATTTTCAGGTGAGGTAAGATTCGAAGAAACAGATGCTGATTCTAACATGTAATCTACAAATTTAATTAATTTTTTTTACTACTAAAGTATTAACAAAATCCCTTAGAATATAAAGTATGTGTTATATCACAAATTTCTTTGCATCCTAAATATTTCATATAATAATAATTAGGTGGACAGGGGGGACAAATGTTGTTTGTTGGTGATCCATAATAGCAACTAGTGCATTGATTAAATTAAGGCCCTGTGCATTAACTACATGATGGGTAGCATATAATATTTAGCCTTGATTAAATAACATTTCTAAGTGAAACCTGTCCTTAATTTGTATTAGAGGATGTAAATATGATATAATCAGAAATTTAATTTGCTATTGAGATTGAAAAATTTAAAGTTTTTACTTCAAAAGGACGGTTATTACAAAATCCAGTTGAAATTGGATAATTTGTAGGGGCAGTGTAAGTATATGAATATTAAAAAGATCCTATCTTAAATTAAACAGTTTTAGATGGCCATATACCTTCAAAATATAGATCCATAGACATCCAATCTCCATTCATGAATGGGTAAGACCAGAAACTTTTAGTAGATAAATGCATGCTATCCAAATTGATGTAGCTTGTAAGAGGAGCTGTACAGGTGACAAAATTTGCGGTCTCTAATCCTGATGGCGATAAAAAGTATCCAGATGACCATAATGAATACCCAGTGTGTTGAGTAAATTATTCATCCTCATCTAGGAGTTCTATGGGTGCAATCCATTATGATTTCGAAAAATCAAACAAAGCAACAAGGAGATAAATGATAGAAATCAACATAAATAAAATAATAGAACTAATTAAAAATAGAAATTAAAAATAATAGAAATTAAAATAATAGAAATTTGTAAGTTTCTGTAAGGCAAAAAATTATTATAATAAAATGTTGAAATGATAAGATTAGAGTTACTTTTTAGAGATGACTTAAATTACTAAATAATAAATTTGTAACATTAAATATTCTTAAAACGATTGAATCATAATAATTAAATTATTCATATATTTCATATAATCTATAAATTATATTAGCCCATAAAGAAAGAGCAATATAATCAAGCAATATCAATCGAATATAAGATTTTATTAAATGAATTATAAAATATTAAAATATGAAACAAAAAATGAGAGATTCAATCTCTTAGATAAGGATTTTCAGGAAAACGATATCTTTTAACTATTTATCTCTTTTTTGCTCTATAATATCTTGTAGTTATTGGAACAGCATATTTTTCAAATAGTATAGTTATTATCATATTAATTATCATTAAGATGAACATTGCAATCAACCATTTCTAAGGCATTTAGCTATCTTGAAAAGTAAAAATCAACTAAAATATATTGATTTGTATAGTATACCTTAAATATATCATCAGCTAAAAATTGAGGATGTTGTGAAAAGAAAAATACATAAAAATTAATTAAAAATAGTATGACCAAAACAGAAGTAAATCCTAAATTTGTATAAAATTCTCTTCTAAATGGTTTTCCAATTGAGAATGCAATACATTAAAAAATATATTAGAAACTTGAATATAAGAAGAGACTCTAAATTAAATAATTAAATAAATTACAGTATTTTCATAGTTGATCATCATAGCATAATGATCATTAGTATTGCCTTCATGAATGACAAAGTTACTCACATACCAACTCTATGTGCGTAAAGTAAAATAAACGATACATTAGAATGATAATTAGATAATTGTTTATCCAATAACAGACATCAAAACAGGAAATGAGAGTAAATTTGAGCCTGGTTAAAATTATGTTAATTGTTTATATGCTTTAGTCTTACCCATAGTAAAAGCTAAAGGTATAATTAAAACCAAATCAATATAGAGAAACTAAAAGTCAGAGATCTTAGCTAAAATTAAATAAAGCAAAGTGCAAGTGATAAATTATATCATACTATACAATGCCATATATTTAAAGCATTGAAAGCTTGTAACCAATGAAGCTCTACCTTCTCTCAATAATTTAACAACACAAGAAATGTCTTATATTTTTGAAGTAAATGGAGCAGCAATCGATGCTTCAGCTTCAGATAGAGATATGCCAACATCAGCAGCTTTTAAAGCTCCACAATCATTGGCTCCATCTCCACACATTCCGCATAAGGCCTTTTTACTAATTTTTTGGAGATGAGTAATCAATTAAGCTTTTTGTTCAGGTTTCATTCTTGCAAATATTTATGCTCTTTCTAAGAGTTTACCAAAAACCTTTCTAGCTGCTGGATTAGTATCAATTTATTTTGTCAATAATTAAAATGCTTTTCCTGAAATAGCAATAACGAATGGTTCATTTGTTTTCCAAGGATCTTAATCATCAATTAAATGATCTAAATTTTCTAGTATTAATTATTTCTCTTTATCTTTATAAGATTGAATTTTGCTTTTTTATAATTATTAAGATCTTCTAGAAATCGATTTTCTATCATAAGAAGTTTAATGATTATCCTCTAGATCTTCTTATTCAATAATTTAATCCATATCTTCATTTAAAGCATTTTCTAAAGATTATTTTTCTTTCATTGATAATTAATTCCAAATTATATCATTTTCATCTTCTTAATTATCAGGATCATCTTAAATATCTAATTCAGGTGATAGATTTTCTGGATTAAGTACATTTTCACTCATATCAAAATCCTTCCAAACAATCTAATTTTTTCCATTTATTTTCTCTTCACCAATATCTCCTAAAAATATTCTTTAGTTAGGTTAAACAATTGAACATTATCTGGCAACTGAAATAGCTGTTAAAACATTATCTCCTGTGACCATAATTGTTCTAATAAATCCATCCTAAAGTGTTTATATAATCTTCTTTGTTGCTGTTTTCAATTTATTCTACATAATTAATAATCCAATAAAAGTAAGATTTGATTCCACATCATCACGATTTGTTTCCTTTGTTAAAGTTTTTGCTCCACATGCTAATATTCTAAAGCCTAATTTTGAATAGAAATCCAAAATTTTATGAAAACTAGAAGGTACACTTTGTTTCTTACATAATTCCCTTAACTTTTCAGGTGATCCTTTGACATATGCTTTCAATTCTCCATCTTTTTCTATTATCACACTCATTCTTTATAGAGTTGATGAAAATTCAAATCTTTTTAGTATTTTTATTTAGCTACCCTCTTAAGAATAAACCTAAGAATTTATATCATCTAATTTATATTAAGTAGCTTCAAACATCTTAATTTCAAGAGGATCTCCAATTAAATTATTGTTAACAGTTGCTAAACTATGACATGATGCCATTATTTCAAATAACACTTACTTTGGTGTTCTCTTTAATTCATTAAATGCTACATTAGAATCATCAAGCAATTTCTCTTGGACATTTAGATCACTTATATTTATTATTAAGTCATCAAATTTGAGCTTCTGTTTTTCTATCATTTTTAGATTTAATTATACTTTCACTATATCCAATAGCTCTAACTCCATATAGATCTAGGCCATCTTCTGTTAAAGTACCAGTTTTGTCAAAGCACATTATTGTTATCTTCCCTGCAACATTAACTTTGTTAGGAGATATGCAATAGATCTTTTTCTTTTACAATCTTGCTAAAGCAAAAGAAACTCCAATCGATAAACACGTAGGCAGAGCTGGTGGCACTGTAATTGTAACTAAATCAAAGGAATTTATGATAAACCAAAAAATGGTCATTTCTCCATTTTTAATACCTTCTATTGTGTTTGGTAATGCAATAAGCCATCCAATAAATGCCATTATTGCTAAAACTACTAAAAATAATAGGGAATCTTTATAAAATGAAAAAGTAACTGGTTTTGGATATAAGATTGATCTAACTAACTCTCCTTTTATTGTTGAGAATCCAGTTTAAGTAGCAAGGGCCAAGACAGGGATCTTCCCTTTTTCAGGATGTCTGGCTTCAATACATTTTGTTCCTGCATATAAAGTAAATGTTTTTGAATCTTCCTGTGGATTGTACATATTACTATTGTATGGTAATTAAGTTTTGATGATTGGTATTGATTCACCTGTTAACATAGATTCATTTACAATAGCAGATCCATTCAATAATATACAATCACATGGAACTGTCCAGTCATTCTGTACTTCTATTAGATCACCAGGAACAATCTCATTTGAATTATATTTTTCTTTCATTGAAATTAGATCATAAGGAATAATGAGAGATTCATTTTCTATTCTTATTGCATTTTATTTTCTAAATAAATTTTCAGTTGTATTTTATGCAGACATCTCTCGAAGTCTTTTGAAATTGTTCTTTGTTTCTCTTAAACTGATGATAATAGATATTAATGAAGATAGAAGTATTACAATAGCATAATATGTGTATGACTCTATTAACCATAAAGTAACGCTAAATGCTTGAAATAAGTAAAATGGGGATAACACTTCATCTATTAATATTTTAATAGTAGATTTATCAGGGATGGTTGTGTTATTATATCCATATAATTATGCTATTTCTTAGGGATTTGTTAACCCTTTACAAAATTGCTTTATTATTTCTTTATGCTATAATTTATAAAAAGATGTTTCAATAGGTTTGAATACTCCATCTTCCAAGAAGTAAGAGTAGAGTCTATAACTAAAAATCTTCATTTTTAACTGCTTCTCATTTTTCTATATCTGTTTCTCCTCTATTCTTACAAGTTCTATTTCATCTAAGGCAGAGTAAATGAGTAAATGAGTTGCTTCTTCTAATAAGCACTTTTGAAATTTTAACCATATATTAAATTTTTATTCCCATCTTGAAAATAAATATGCTAAACCAACTAAATAATGAATTATTATGATTACTTGATATGACACAAAAAAACCAATAGATAATTTACTTCCAAGATGGAGATTTATATGGAACTATTTATTTAATGATGCCTTCTTCTTATATGAATTTAGGCATTATAAATTGCACTTAGTAAAAATCAACATCGCATAACAATTGTTCTTCAAAAGGTTTTACTTTCATAAAGTTTAATTTTATAAAAGTTATACTCCAAATATTTACCTTTACTCTTAATTACGTCATTTTAAGATAAATTGCAATGATCGAAAAATAATCAAGTTCAAAATGACATCTTTTTTATATTACGTATTAAATTTAATGATTCATTGCA